AGAGAGGGCTGAAAGCCCTATGAAGCGGTATATAAGTCTAACTGCTATTGCTATTGCTAACAGCTATTGCTAAAATCAATTCGAGTATTTTATGGCATCATATATAAATCCCTATCCTATCTTACTGGAGATTTTTAAGATAAGTAACAAAACAAGATTCCTTACCTTAATGCCAGCCCAGAGCTTTCTAGCAGAACCCCATAGTCTCGGGAAATCTGTTTTGTTAAATCTGATAGAAGTGGGATATTCATGTGGCCTAAACCACCAGTCTAAGGAAAAAGACAAACATTGTAGTTTTTCTGTAGCCTTCCAAATTTTTACTATTAATCAAAAGATGACGAATGAAAAGTGCTTAGTAAGGGTCCGTCGAGATCTGGACCCTTACTACCCTCCCGGCCTTCCGTAAAGCTATTAAGTCCTGGCTGTTCCGGCAGGCCTGGGGCTGTTGAAGTATCCAGCCCCACTTTAATTATGAATGTTGTTGTAATTTTAAAATTGTTGTATTGTCTTATATATCCCCTCCCTTTTTTATTGTAAGCCGCCCGGAGTCCTTCGGGAGTGGGCGGCATACAAAACCAATAAATGAATGAAATGAATGAATGTCTAAAACATTCGAAACAGCCTTAGTTCTGAATTCCTTTTCATTAAGCTCATGCAAAAATCATAGCCCATAATATAGATGGCCCATAGATCAAGGCTACTTATACCAACGCATTCATATTTCATGCTAATTAGTCCCTGTACACCTAATCACTCTCCCTGGAGTGCCCATCACACTACATGTGTCTCTGTCCTCAAGACTGCTCATTAAATTTGCCACAGTTCATTTGAGCACTGTATCATTATTATTTTTTTTTCCCGACTGAATTAGACATGTTAGAAACCCGGGGCCTCCTCTTTTCTTCCTTCCTCCGGTGAATTTCCGTACAACATCTTCCCCGGGCCGAACTCGGATCTTGCAGCCGAAATCATGTCAGTACGTTCTCTCGACGTACAAGCAAGGTTATTGCAAAGGTAGACCAGTGTCCTTAATGCCTCAATTGTGCATTCAGGCTATATGCCCTGCATCTGACAACTTCTGAGAAGCAGCCATCCTTATTCTGTTTAATGGAGACCTTGGAGACCAAGCAAGGTTGAGAAAACGCCGAGGCTTATTGTTAAGACACAGGCATCTCTTCAATAATTGTAAATCCCCAAATCGCTCGTCCTACACACACACACACACACACACACACACACCCTTCCCTCCACATCTCTGTCACTATTTAATTTTAACACGGAGCATATTAAACAGGGAAGGTAGCTGAGATCGTATTCTCATCCAGGATGTGCTTCAAATTGGGCTAACCCACAATAGAAAGATCTTCAAGTGCATTGAATGCATGTATTTATTTGTCGTGTTGCTGGGGATTTTTTTTTCCTTCTCTCTCTCTCTCTCTCCTTTTTTTGCCCTTCTCTCGCGGGTTAGAGAAAGCCAGTTCCTGAAGGGGCAGCTTTTCTATCATAGACAGTAGCATTGTCAAGATAAGGTACTCTAACCCCTCAAGAACAGCAGCCTTGATTCATGCTGACAATTTTCAGTGCACGGTGGGTCTCTATGCAGAAAAAACTCCTGCTTCTTATAGGGAGAGAAAGCCTCTGCTCCTTGCATGTCCTTATTTCTTATCTTGCTAATTGGATAGCCTGGGCCTCCACGGTTGTCCATCCAAGTCTGGAAAAGTAGAGATAATGACACCACTGCAGATACTGCCAAAAGCAACTCCTGTAAGGGAGTAAACAACCTCTTGGACTGGGAAGCTGGATCCTTCAGTGGAGAAATAAATATAAAGCCTGGGGCCCCCGACAGTGGCGTGGCACGTGGGAGGTGGCTGATGAGGTGGACAACACCCTACCTCATCTCCGGAGGCACTTTGCTCCCTCCTGCTTCTCCCTCCAGCTTAGTTGTATTTTAATTGGGACTTTTTAAAATGTAAAATCGGTATTGTTGTTACGTTTTATAACTAAATTTAATTCAAAGTCTGTAAGCTCTCCTTTAGCAAGATGGATACAAGATAGATAGATAGGTAGATAGATAGGTAGATAGGTAGGTAGGTAGACAGACAGACAGACAGACAGACAGACAGACAGACAGACAGACAGACANGAGAGAGAGAGAGAGAGAGAGAACATAATTTAAAAAGATGCACTTACCCACAAGATGCGTGAAGTCTACATCCAATCTTCCTCTATATTTGAAGTCAGGATCCATACCACTACAGTGCAACACTATTTGTGTAACACATTCTTCTATTATCTTGTAATACTGAGGGCTGGTGGGAAAAATAAAAGGCAGTCGTTTTTACAGTTTACAGTTGTTGTAATAAAGAATCCATAGGTCCAATTAAGAAAGGGGTAAAGAGTCATGTAATCCAGTGGTTCTCAATCTTTTCTTCACCATGGACTTCCTTTAAATATCTTTTGTAGTCACGGAAAATGGCTGTGTACCAGTGGTGGGATTCAAATAATTTAACAACCGGTTCACTGCCCTAATGATTTCTTCCAACAACCAGTTCACCAAATTGCTTAGAAAGTTACCAACCGGTTCTCCCGAAGTGGTGCGAACTGGCTCAATCCCACCACTGCTGTGTACCCTCAAGACTTAAAACATAACATTTCCTCAAGCCTTGGTGACCCCTCCCATGACAATATGGTCGCCCCTCAGGAGTCCATAAACCACAGGTTGAGAACAATTGATGCAATCTATCTAACGATCCGGGAACAAGATCATTCAAATTTAAGCTGAAGCAGACCTCATGCCTAAAATTTTTCTGATGATTTAAACAAAAGTTCTGTTTTATCTCCCACCAAAATGCAGTGGGATCTTTTGCTCTGTAATGGAATCAGCTCGAAAGTGTTAGCAATTAATTTTCTAATGTGTCTTTGATAGTTTCTACCTGAAAACAAAGGTGGGAATTCACGTTCCCCTTACTACATGACATGCTCATTTAATTAAGCAACGGGATGCGCCATTGAAACATGAAAAGCAAAATAGCTGGCTTACCGTACATAATAATCATTCCTAATGAGTAAAAAATGCTGTAAAATGGATAGAAAGTAGTTTTCTGATGCTGTTTCTTTCAACATGTTATAGAGCAAGTGGTAAACTTCATTCACATCGGTAAAAGGACCATTAAGGAAATGTCAGAATAGAAAAATCACAATTGCTGCATTTTTTGAAACTCAACACTGAAAGAGTTTTGAAAATTTTTATACTGTGTTACCAAATATCGGACACTAAGTTTGAACCCTAAACTGGGACANTTAAAACCCCTGCACTAAATAAATGTAAACCAAGCACTATTGGTAACCTTTATCATCCCAGCTATACTTAGCAATTAGCATCCTATCTCCTTTAAACCAGAAGTCCTTTCAGCGGGATAAAGATGCCACTAATTTATGTCATACCTGGGTTCGCAACTGTTGGATTTCAGCTTCAAGTTGTCGGATTTTCTCCTCACGCATTTGAAGCTCAGCTTGTGCTTCCTGCCGAGCTGAGAATTCTTCGTCAAACTGCAATGATCACCAGTACAGAAATAGTCATTCGTCTTGGTCCAAATTTAATATTGCTACACAAGAATGAAAGTTTTGAGCAAAAGAAATCTGTCTGGCTTTGTGGACTACTTAAAATAACACCAGTGTGGTGGAATGGAAGGTAGTAACAGCATAAATTATCTTGAGATGGTTTCCTTCATATACTTATAAGATAACAGTAGACTATTTCCCATTTCCCATTATAACCATCTTGATAGATTCAATCACAACTTCTCCAAGTATGTTACTTGGTAAAACTGCTGGTAACATCACTATAAAAATTGTGAATGTCTATCTCAAGATATGAGCAATTAAATAATCTCTTTTACCCAAGCATTTTATTTATAAAATCAAACCACAACTATTATCTTAAATTGCAAAGAATATTATTTTCAAGTCTCTTTAGCTTCAACTAAGTAGCAGTGGCATATTATCTGCCACATGAAATCTGCTCACAGTATTGATACTGACAGCATGTAATGTTCTGAATTCTTCGAATGGACCAGTTATATCAAATTCATTTCTCAAGTTCATTTTCTCAAGTACCTTGAGATAGTTTCCTTTATATACCTACAAGGTAACAGTAGGCTCTTTCCCATTATAAATTTTTTATTAGGTGAAACAATGGGAAGTGTTACTTAACTCTTAACTCTAATTAATATATGTGGAATTGTGCCAAATGATTAGCTGGAGATGAGAAACACCAGTAGGGGATAGTTAAAAATTCTTGAGTCAACTTAGAACCTCTGGCCGTCCATAGATTTAGGATGGAGGTAAACAAGAATGTTTATGTTAGAGATGAATTGGGTAAAGCTGTTTCCAAATAAGAGATAGTGTGTTGCCCAGAAGAGCAATTTAAGGATTTTAAGCTAAGATAGGACAAATTGTCAGAGACAGACAAAAGCTTTTTCTACCATACCAAATCTACCAATTTCTAAGATACGTTCTGCCTGGTTGCAGAGGGATCTTTCAATTATTAATTGAAATAATTAGTTTGATTTCAATAAACTCTAATTATGTCTAAGTGTATTTTTATCATGTTTAGGTCTTGCTGCTTTCAGATATAAGCATAATAACACAATTCTGAAACCGAAGACCTTTAAAAAAATACATGTAGAAATATAACAATGGAAGTTTTTCAAAGGCTGCAACATGACGAATTGTTTGCGGGCCTACCTTTTTGGAAAAATCAGCTGCCTTTTGCTCACTTTCTTCAACTTTTGCTTTGTTCACACAGCTGTCTGAAAGGAGGAAAATAATAGGTCCTAACATAACTACAATTTTAAAAATTGAAGATATACAATGTCATACAGAGATATCATTCAAGAACATTATTTTTTAACCCAGATTATTTTAAAATAATCTGGGTTAAAAAAATAATGTTCTTGAATAGCCTGAGATTTGTTTTATAAAGGAATTTATAGAAGAAAGAAAGAAAGAAAGAAAGAAAGAAAGAAAGAAAGAAAGAAAGAAAGAAAGAAAGAAAGAAAGAAAGAAAGATGGTAGATGATTAGATAGATAGATAGATAGATAGATAGATAGATAGATAGATAGATAGATAGATAGATAGATAGATAGATAGATAGATGGTAGATGATAGATAGATAGATAGATAGATAGATAGATAGATAGATAGATAGATAGATAGATAGATGATAGATTGATAGAGANCAAGCCACTCCCACCCAGTCACATGGCC